AAGGCTCCTGTTTCACGCAGTTGCTGACTTTGATTTTTATTTTTAAATGCTCTCAGGACTTCTGCTCCACCCCTGGAGCTCTGCTCCCTTCCGGTGAACTCCAGCCCAGAGCAGCCCTGCCTACAGGCAAGAGCTGCCCCCCGCCCCCACCCCCAGACTGCCCTGTGTCATCAGTCTCCACAGACAGAGGCCGACAGCCGTCTTTCGCCTGCAGAGGCTACCCCCGAAGTGCTTTAGCTTCTGCCTTACCAGAGCCCCTTTCCACTCCCCAGCCGCCCCTGATATCGAAACGTTTGTTTCTTTGCTAAAAGTAAACTTGCCACACTCGGGCGGGCTTAAACCCCAAACCCAACCCACTGCCCAAGTCCCTTCTGACTCACAGGGACCCTGCAGGGCAGGGCAGAGTTGCTGCCTAGGGAAAGTTTCCCACGTCCTCTGTCGGTCTTTATGTGACTGGACAGCCTCGTCCCTCTCCCACAGAGAGACTGGTGGGTTTGCTGACAGCCCCCACTCTAGCCCACTGCACCAACGAGGAGCTCTGTGCTCTGGGTGGGCACTGTGTATGTGATGTCAAACCGGTTTTGTCTGCTCTCTCCGGCCACCTCCAGGCCCTGTGGGGTTAACTGGCCTGGCAGTCCCTTGCCCAGGGGCTTAATTGCCAGTGGACGGCCTCCAGTGGCTGGCTTTCTGACTCCTTAGGTGGGAATGTGCTGACTCCTAAGAAAACCACCCCCAGAAACGTTACCATTGAATCCACTCTCCCACAGCCTCTGCTCTGGCTGGCGCTCCATCTAAGCCCGGTCACCATTAAATAAGGTTGCATAACCCTGCATTTTTAATCACCTTCTAGAATGTATGGGTTGGCGGCCCAGGGCACTGCTGTATGGCATCAAGTTTCTGTTGGTTACGGCAGGACACGGAGCACAGACGCCAGACTGAGGTGGTCTAGCCGGGTGAAGCTTTCTGTCGGCGTTTGTGCTTACCCATCACCCTTTCTCAAGCATTAGGCCCTGGGAGGGGGGCAGCAGGGGTGTCTGGGGACTTGCCTGTCCAGTCGTCCACAAAATCTACTGGCTTAGCATTAATGGGTGCAGGTGGCGGAGAGGTTTTGGGGAGATGCTGTTGACTTGCTCGCAGCTTCTCAGATCTGTCAGGTGAAGGCGAGAGAGGGAGAGGGCGGGGTTAGAAAGACCCGTGGGGCCCAGGGTCTGCCAGATGGACGCCTGCAAGCGCTTCGCTTCGCTCTGAATGGTCAGACTGGGGTTTCCTCATTTCTCTGCCTTTCCTGCTTGTTTGGCTCACGGTGTTCCATGGACCATCTCTGCCGTTTCTGTCCCTCCCGGGGGGTCTGGGTGCCCCCCAGTTGCGAGGTTGTGCTTGGCTGTGTGTTTTGTTCTCGGATGCGGTGGCGAGCTTGCTGCGACCCTCTTGTGCGGAGGACGGGTGCGGGCCGGCTCCTGAGACGTGCTTGTGGACCCGGGAGGACGTGGGTGGCGGTTTCTGAGTGCCTTTCCCACGAGACTCTTCGGGATCATTGTCCTTCTGGAACGCTCGGTGGCCAGATAGGCAACATTCCATGGAGTCAGCCTGTGAGCCTGGGTGAGGGTCTTCTCGGTGCCGAAAGCCCTGGGGCTGCATCGGTTAAGTGTTGGCTTGGCGTCTGCCGGCCCAGAGGTCGCCTGTTGGGACCCACGCTGCTCTGGGTGAGAAGCAGAGGCTGTGCACTGCTGTCCAGATGGAGCTCGCTAGCGCGCAGAGCTGTTCTGTGCTGCCCTCAGGGTCGCCCTGAATGGGAATTGGCCCGTGGGCTGTGGGCTGGGGCCTCTGGGCCAGGTCAGGCCTGTGAGTCCGCCCTGGGTCATCTCAGGGACACAGAGGCACACAGGGGGATCATAGCCAGGCGACTGCGGTGACCGGTGGCCTCGGTGACAGGCAGGACTGGAGCTGGCTCTTGTCCAGCCCTCCCGGCCACGCTGGACCTCAGGGGTGGAGGCTGAGTGGCAGCTAATGGCAGGAGGAGTGACACCCCCAGCCACCCTGTGCCCGCTGGGCTGTTCTGCCTTTCCCCTGAGCTGGATGGAGAGAGAAGGTCTGTGGAGTACTTTTGAAGGAGCCCTAGTGGTGTATGGTTACACATTGGCCTGCGATCCTCAAGGTTGGCAGTTCGAAACCACCAGAGGGTCCGAGGGGGAAAGACCGGGCTTTCTACTCCCATCAACAGTCACAGGCTCGGAAACCCATAGGGGGTCACTATGAGTCAGCACTGACTCAGTGGCTGTGAGTGTGTTGGCAAATCCTTTGAATGTCTGCCTCTCTCCTGCACCCCCCATGGCCCCCAAGTGGGTGCTGGTCACTGTTGGCTGCTGGGCAGTGGGAGATTTCCGACCACCATGTCCATGGATCAGAGTGTTGCCTGGCCCTGTGCCAGCTTCATGGTGGGCCAGGGTGGGCTAGGGTGCCTGCTGCCAGGACTTCCCCACAGCACGTAGCCATCTGATGGTGTGGCGCCCATGGCACCTTGTGTTGGTGGGGGGCTGCCAAGGCTGTGGGGTGTCTAGGAGCAGCAATTGCCGCCTGTGTGTCTCTCTCACGCGGGTGGGAAGGACCGACTGCCCCATGCTCCTTCGAGGCGGACGAGCAGCAAGTGGGGGTGAGGGGGCGCTGCCAGCTAGAGGAGGAGGGGCTGCTCTCGGAGCTGTTGCAATCCCGTGTTTGTCAACGTCCCTTCTCCTGTGAGGGCGCGCTCAGC